TTAAGAAAACTTGGCTAATGTTAGTCATATTAAATATTTTATTTTGATTATTTTAAAATATAACATTGCATATATGTAGGTTAAATTCGAATGGCTATAAAATTATATGTACCTTATGTACCTCAAAAAATAAGGTAAGGGTGAGGGACACAACCCTAGTTTCGACGTGGTTCAATCGGCAATAAATGGCAGTTTAGTATGATGAGACAATAGTCAAATGTAAAGAAGTTCATTTCGATAAATAAAAGTAGATGAACAAATAAAWCTAATTTAACATATATTTTACCCCATGCTAATTGAACTTTTTTGAACTACACCTTGCCAAACTATAATTCGTTAGTCTAAATTAAGTGCAAATTTAGTTCTATTTCCATTGATATTCAGGTAGGTAATCGACAAATATATTATATTTTTGCTTAAGATCCACCGGTTCATTTATTTCAGTTGAAGAGAGTTTTCAATTGAAAATTTAAAACAAAACTTGCACRTCACATCAACGCTTCAATAACACAATGTAAAAAAGTAAACAAACATTTATGGCAACATTTAATAATGTTCCTATTTCTCTTTCTTATTTCTAATTTTTGAGAAAAACARGTATTTGATAATTATTTGTATTTCTTAACTTTAAAGAATAAATTTTAGAAATAACAAAATTTAATAATATTTCTATTTCTGATTTCTATTTTTAATTTCGGATAAACACAAGAATTTGACAACTATTTATGTTTGTTATTTTTAATGAATAAATTTTAGAAACAAAAAAATCAAGACTCTCCTTTATGATTTATTGTTCAATGTTTCATTTTTTTTTTCAAAACATAGATAAAAATATTATTTTATAATTTTTTAACTTATAAAATGCATATAAATACAAAAAAATAAATACAACACAAATTTTTAAAAGTCCAGAAAATAAACACAAAAAATAGTTATAAGATACATGTTTATGAAAAGAACAAGAAGTAAACAAAACATTACACAACAATTATTGAAAACCAAATTACAATTTATTTAACAAAGAAACAAAAAGAAGGCCGGGAGAAGCAAACTATCAAAAATCAACTTATAGAGCAACATTCACCATTGTATTCACCAAAAAAAACGACCGCTAAAAATAAAAAATAGTCATGCCGATTCCCAAGACTCTCCTTTATTATTATTTGCTTATGCCAAAAAGAAAGAAAGAAAATACAATACACCATTGTCTTTCTTGTCGCAAAGTTCTATGCCTTGGGAATAATCTCACCTTATATTATATTCTTTAGACCAATCACCAACCATATTTTAAAATTTTTAATTCATAAATTAATTCTATATTACAAGGTTTAATCATGCTCTTTCTCGTAATTATCGAACAAACCCCGCTCCAGTCATTATACCCATTCACGGTTTTAAAAATAACTATAGAATTTCTTGGAGTCGAGTAACTAGATAATTAAATGCGGAACTCCGGGAATTGTTTCTGTGTGGACGGATTCCATTCCAATATTGAAAACGTGGCATGCGCGTGATCTGCACCGTCTGATGTAAATACTTATAGACTTAAAAGAGCGCTACATGGTTACTGCCATGTACTGCGCCGCACCTTATAATTTCTGGTGTATATAAAATGGCGCAATAATAGCCGTAAGATCGACGGGAAAATCCCGTCCGGAAACCAAGATTATGATTCTGAGCTTTCTTTGCGATCTCATAATTCCTCCACGGAACCAGATGATTTATGTTAGGGTTTGTGGCTCTCGTTTAAATCTTTTGGTTTCGATAATGACTTCTCGGGATTCTGTTTTTGTCTGAACTACTCTCCTTTTCTCAGAGTGCTTTGTTTCCGTTTCAATGGGGAATGCATGAATGGAACCGACATTGGGGTTTAATTCTAAATTCTAACTGCAAACATTTTAGTTCACTTACTTGCTTGCCTACTGTTTCTCGCAGATCTTCTTTGGTGTTACTGTTGTTTGAGACGGTTCTCTTTTGGATTTAGTGTATTTTGTATGCTCACTCTGTGTTTCGAATCTTAAGGGATTTGGAGTCTTCGGTTGCGTGGTTCTTGTTTCTTACCTACTCATTCCCAATCTCGTCACCGACGAGATAGCATTCCCATTCAGTGTTCGTTGCTTTTCGAAATCTCTAAGCAATCACATAAATCTCGCTTTTCGGTTTTTTCTCGAGTTCAAATTTGAGTCATCCCAACCATTTCTTTATCGTCTCTTTGGATGCCGAACTTCCTGCATATTGATCTGAGACATATTGCTTCAAGATCTGTACAATCCATGGCCGGTTTTATTTAGCATTTCCCCCCGATCGGTCCGGCGGTTTCATTCTCGCGATGAAGCGCACGGTCCGTCCGGTGTTCAGCGTGTTGCTGTTCATCACCTTTGCTGTCACTCTCCTCTGCCGCATCGTCATCCGCCGTGCCTTCAGTTCCCTAGAGCTGGAAACTAATGTAATCGCTCCGAGACCTCCAGCGCCCGTGTTCAATTCCACGCTGCTGAAATTTGCTTCGATTGATCTCGGAGAAGCCCACTCGAAGCGTGAGATAGAGCAATTATTGGAGGCGAGCTTCGGTGGTCCGAAGACGTCCAAGACGTACGCTACTTGGCGAAGATTCAACCACTACGACAGCAAAGCGAGGTCCTCAAATAGCTTTCCGGTAACTTTCCGCTCACCGGCTTTTTACCGACATTGGTTGGATTTCAGGCGGGCGCTGAATAGCTGGGCGAGAAAGAAACGGATTCCGACGGATATCATGCCGGAACTGGTAAGACTTATCAAACACCCACTTGACAGGCACAATGGGTTTGTGGGTTCCGATCAGAGGTATTCATCATGTGCCGTCGTGGGAAACAGTGGAATCTTATTGAACAGTAATCACGGTAAGCTAATTGACAGCCACGAGATGGTAATCCGATTGAATAATGCAAAAACAGATAACTACGAGAGCAAAGTTGGGTCCAAAACCAACATTTCTTTCATCAATAGCAACATCTTACACCTTTGTGCCAGAAGAGAGAGGTGTTTCTGCCACCCTTATGGACGAAACGTGCCGACAGTCATGTACATTTGTCAACCTGTACATTTCATGGATTACACTGTTTGCAACAATTCCCACAAATCTCCGCTGCTGATTACTGATCCGAATTTTGACGCTCTGTGCTCTAGGATTGTGAAGTATTACTCTATGAAACACTTTGTGGAGGTAACAGGGAAGTCGTTGGAAGAGTGGAGCACAGCCCATGAAGGTCCTTTATTCCACTATTCTTCTGGTATGCAAGCCGTTATGTTGGCCTTGGGAATTTGTGAGAGAGTAAGTATATTTGGGTTTGGGAAGTCGGCTTCAGCTAAGCATCATTATCATACAAACCAGAAGGTTGAACTGGGTTTACACGATTATGAGGCAGAGTATGCTTTTTATTACGATTTGATTGCTAGGCCGCAGAGAATACCTTTCTTGTCGGACAAGTTCGAGGTACCTCCTACGGTTCTATATCAATGATTTTGATGTCAATTGTAGAACTTGCTTCATTCTTTTTTGGTATATAGTTGTTCGTTAGGTAGCAAAGGAAATTTTGGTGCTTCTGGTACTTTTGGGCTTATCCTCTGTACAATGCTTTGCAATTTTGCACATAATACATTTTTCGAGTGAGCATGATTTCAAATGCACACCAACCATGAATGTATATACATAAATATATATACATATATATATATACACATACATACATATATATATATATACATACATATATATATATCAGGAATCAGAACAGTAAACTTAATACCCACCCAAGCCAAGGGGAGGGGAGGAATCAGAAATTTAATCCAAACTGAGGGGAGGGGAGGAATCAGAGAAATTTATTCAGATGTCAACATTGTAGCTTTGTCACACCAAAACCTGGCAACAGGCCGTAGCTAAACATTACATATTGCTGTTCGTATTATCTATTTGAAACTAAGTGGAACTAAGAAAGACTGTGGAAAGGCGTCACAGAAACCGAGTACTTCCTACAACAGATTAGTGATTATGATTATATGCACTACCTACACTACGAAGTGAATCAAACATTCCCTACAATATGCAACTTATATCCATGGGAACAAAACTAACACTCTTCTCTTTACAAAAATAGAGCAAAAGGGGTAGAGAGAGATCCATGCAGGGCCTGCTTTGACAACTGCTTCCATTTTCCTTCATTCCTGTGTTTCCATCACCACACCTTTCTCTTCGTACTTCACCCCCACCAAGAACCTTATACTTGTCTGCAAGGTATAGGACCCGAAAACGGGTTTAATTTTATGGACTTGCCAAATAAATGCCAATTATAAAAAACGAGAGGACTCCATTCATTTTGTTTCGTTTCTTTTCTTTTTAAACTTATTTCAATTAGTTTCACCAGGAAATTAATGCTATGCATGTGCGAGAATGTGCTCCTGATATAGGTTTTTCTTTGATGAGAAAGAACGTAGTAGCAGTTTGTAAGAGAGGCATACCTGCTTTGGGTCGTAGACAGCATACTCGTTGTATTCAAGAGGGCTATCTTTGTGTTCTGAAGCGATCAAAGAGCCACAAGGAACTTTAATGTCATCTTTCCAAACAAAGTGTTCTGATTCGTCTGTCTTCTTTCTCCCCAATGCTTTAACTCCTACCTTCTTCTCTTCCAACGATTTTGTATCCTGTACCAGCCGCGTGCCGATTAATTTAACCACCTGCTGAATGTGCAGGAACACCGCAAAATCAAGTTTATACACTTACCTCAGGTGGGCTTGTCATCTCTGTGATCTCCTCTCCAAGAGATGCARTGGCCAGGACCAAAAACCCTTCTGGCCTGTCTACGGCCGTAAACCCATACCTAGCTGCCTCTGCTGCAGCATCAGAGCACACAATCGCTCGGCCAAACTACAAAACAAAATGAGAATCCACATTGAGGTTTCTTTTGGTGTTTTAAGAAAAGATTGCAATTGCTGAGTACCATGTAACCCGAGACTGGAAGAGAGCATATGGCTGGCAAGAAGCCTTTGTACAAGTGCCTCAAGAGGTTTGAAGTTCGGGTGCCTGTGAAGAAAGTTGGGAATTTAGATAGAAAAAAACGATCATCGTCCTTGAAGTCATGGTTAATTAACAGGACTAGGCCAACCCACCACACCACAATAGGACTTTGTTTGGTAGTTTCTTTATTTCTTCGTAGCTGGGGAGAGCTGTCGACTCTACCGTAAAAATGTTGTCAACACTCACTCCATATTCCTGGAAAACACAGGTTCAAAATGCCAACCTCAAAAACCAACATTCTTTGAAATATTTCAAGTATTTAACTGAATGCCAGCTCTTACAATGTCTCCAACTTTCACAGGCTCATAGGTTTTCTCCAGATAGTTAACGATCATTTTGTAGTCATCTGAATCCTTCTCCAGGAGAGAAACAGAACCACCCAGTTTCTCATATCGATCTGAGAGTGGATCTTCGATGGTAGATCCACTCATGTCTCCGATAAGATGTGAAGCCACTGTTACATCTCGAACACCCTCCAGCACAGCTGCAGCCTGGATAACTAGGTGGCTAAGATAAACATAAACCAGAAAAAAATAAAAATAAGTTTTTGCATCAAAATGTAGAAAGTTTCTAGTTGAGGCTAACATGCTCTGCAATTTCTTGATGGTCCTTGAAGATCAAAGGCCTGGTAGAGTGCATAAGAGTGAACCATCTATTGCTATAATCTGTCCAAACAGCTTCAGCCTTAAGCCCCGTCTCTTTCATTGATTTCACTTTCTCTATGAATTCCAGAAGGACCTCTTCGCCTGCAAAGAAGTTCTCTCTTTACACTTGAGCAGAAGAACAAAAACAGGAGAAGAAAAGAGAATAGGCCAAGAAGGGCTTACATCTCTTCAAGTGAAGATTAGAAAGCATTCCCATAGGTAATTCCGGAGGATCGTGTGCCATCTCCATGAGAGCATACCTGAAATCCGAGGACTAAGATGTAAGATCTAATGACGAGAGTGGGATTGAAGGGGAAATGAAATCTGGTTCTATAGACAATTCCTTACTTGTAAATCTCCTGGCTGCACAAAACCTTCATAAAGTTTGCAATCGCGGGCTCAAGCTTACTGTGAACAGATGCAACTCCTAGCTGCCTAAGACCAAGCCCTCCATGCCTCACATCTACTCCATCATCCTATAGCCATTGCCCCAGAATAACTTATAAATAAAGAAGTTCAAATATCATGAACAAACTGACTGAAACACTGGAACTGTACCATATCGATGGGATAAAACGACAAGCGTTTCTTCTCAAACTTCTCTCTTTCCCATGGCTCGAATTCATTTCCAGTTATTTCTTCGAACAGCCCCACAAACTCCTTTATAGCAGTTTTCTCATTTTCCCATTCCTCCAGCCTTTCCTCTGCATTGGGATCATCCCCCACGTTTCCTTTCTTATAGTATAGATGCAAGTTCTTATCTGGTACTTTGATCAGTTGAGCAATACAATACCTACAACAGTAGCTTGTGGATAAGAACCAACTGGAGAAAATTAACGATCAAATAACTTTCTGGAGAAAAGTTTCAGTATGCTACTCATTGAGTCCCCGGCCTTGATCGCAGAGTGAAAAGGCACAATTATACAAGATTCCATCCTTTTCAAATATCTCTCCACCCTGTTCTCGTAATTTGGTATCCTTGTAAACCCCTCTCTTTCCATATAACTTGAGCTGCACAACATATGTAAAAGTAATTGGTAAGAACTCTATATATTTATCTACGGTTTGTTCAAAATTATATGCATACTTCTGCTGTGAGGGATTCAAGTGCCTCTTCCGAGGGATCTTGTTTATCCCAAGGGATCCCTTTGCCTTCCACAGCGAGATCTGTCAAAACATCATAAGCTTCCAATGGCTGAGCTTCTTGCTTCTCAATGCTGTCAAGTAGCCAAGCTTCACGGATGACTCGTATACCTGTTTCGCTGAAAAAGAGAATACTTATTAAGAGAGCAGGACCTTTGAGAAACATTCATTTTGTTCAGTTAACTAGATTTTGATTCACTAGGCAGAAAACTAGATCGTTTCTTTGATGAAGCACTTTGCCCGGTTTTAAAACCACATTTCTCAATTTTAATTTTCTTATCTTCTTGTTTGGTGCGCCTTGGTTTCAAGTTTTAACAACAGTACATGGAGAGAGAGAGAGTAAAAGCCTAAACCCAAGTATGAAAATTTGAAAACCAAACAGCCCTTAAACTACATATATCTTGGCTAGTTAGGAAGAAATATACACTGCTTCTGCAACTTTAGAAGATCCACCCCGCTCTCTCTCAGCAGGAGAGACAACCAAGCAACTGACACCTGCAAAGATTTGTTCATCAATACTTCCAGTGATTACAGCGAAGACAACACAAAAGGACTTGGCGAGGATAAAGAAAACGTACCAATTACAGAATTGTTAACGGTCCCTCCATGCTTCTCAATTTCTTTTCTCCAGTAATGCTGAGTTGACAATCATTGGAAACTTGTTAAACATAGTAGTAGGAAGTTAAAAACTTGTGCCATAAAAGCTCAATCTCAACCCATGAACTTACATGAGTTCTCGATAGACGACCAGAGAGTGAAATTGTCATTCCAGAGAAGGGTTTATCTGTCTGGCCAAGATTTCTCTTTGGACGTTGACCCGGATTCTGATGCTTCTTTATCAACTACACCATTAAGAAACAGAGATCTATGACAATGTTGGCTATCTAGGAAAAGAAGAAACAAGTAGGGAAATGGAGGGTTACATCTGAAATGGGAGAATTCAAGACTGATTCTGGTAACTTGCTGGTTTCATTTTTCCTAGGAGGATCCTTCGTTTTGAAGGTACAGGTAGACCATTCACTTAGAAAGCCATTGCAAGAGTAGCGCTTCCCATCAAATACCAGCTTGCCACTACAAACTGGGCATGTTTCTAGGACACCATAGAACAGCAAGTCTTGACTGTCCACGTAAGAACAGTCTCAGAAACATACAACAATATCTATGAATTTTTCTTTAGCATTGCTAAAGAAAAATAACGGTTCAAATGGTATAAGGAAAAAGCTACAATGTGCATTGTCTGTCGGTGGTATACCATTTAGAAGCAACTTCATAGTCAGGGCCAGTGGAGTCTTGGTCATTCATTTGCAGAATCTCCTTCATTTGATTAATGGAGAGACTCTCTCTCGTAGCCTTACAGAACTCTTCAAATTCATCTGCAAGGCTGACTTCGGATTTGCCGTTGGGGCGGCTATTTTCATCTTCGGACTTGACTTTCTTTGGCGATTGTTCGCTTTCATGTGTCTTGCTCTCTGCCTTCTGCTTCCTTGTCACTTTCTTTTCTTCTTCACCAGAACCATGAGTGTGAGAATGGGACCTCGTTTCATGAACCTTCAAAATTTTTACAGAACTTAGCACTAGCATTCCCATTTCGCTTAAACTAAATGGAAGGTTCCGAAATTCTATTCTTGCTGTAACATTTCTTCAATAATCTTTAAATTTTATTTTTTCCTCAGTTTGCTTTAAGTGTCATTTTTTCAAGATTTCACACAGCTGAATCATTGTCAGCAACTGGTGACTAAAGCAAGAAAGAGCCTTGCAGTACTACCATATTTCTGCATCAGTTGGACATCTCAAAAGGAACTGACTGAGAGCTTAATTATATTTGCAGGTACAAAAGTTGGTTTTTATTTTGTTTTAAACTTCTACAAGTTTTGATCTAAGTAGTGCAAAAAGTTAAGCCAACTAGATGATTAAGCTGTAAAACAACAACTGAACAAAAACCCAGAAGAAAAAGACTCCCAAGTATCAGAAAAGTTACTGATGTAACAAAATGAATAGGAGAATCTCCAGAAAGTAACCTAGGAAAGCCATGAAATATACTGCCACAGATTCATAGAGGATATTATTGATAGAACCAAAGGAATCCGCATGTGGGTATAACACAGAAAACCAAGAGATTAACCAAATTCAAACCTTCATCTTTGAGTTTTTCTGTCTCTCTTTAAGATGAACACAGATGAGAAAGCAGCAAACAATCCACTCCCCAACAAAGAAGCCAGTGAAAAGCAAAACAATCGATGAGATCCAACTTTGAAGCTTCCTTCAGGTACTTGGGTTTTTTGAACTGGAAACTAGCTGAGAAGTGAGACCATTCCGTGGGCTCCTCCCTTTAACATTGCAAAAACTTCATGTCAGAGACAACTTCCGAGAGAGACACGTCCATACTTGTTCTTGACTTCTCTGTCATATTAGTAGAATTCCAGGTGTTATTCGGCACCAGGGTGGCTGCCACGTGTCCAACTGGGATGCTTTTGTAGCCTCAGCAATTGACAGGTGGTGAATCTAGACTGCTCGTTTGGAGAGATTTACAATTTGTTTCATTTCATTCCAATTCAAATATTACTGAAGTATGCTTTAATAGGATAACAGAGAATGAGATGGCTCAGATAGGGAGATTTCAATCTCTCTAGTGTTTCCATATTGTGCTCGAGATGTCGTTGGATTTATGAGATTAATGAAATTATGGACTTATTATTCATTACTTGGTGGTATATTTGGTAAAATAGCCATTCTTCTTCCTTTATTATTGTCTTCATTGTCACGTACCTAAAATTGTGTATATTTGAACCTTGAAAATGTTGAATCAAATGAGTGTGTATTACCTTTCATACGTAATGAAATCATAAGTTTGAATACCAAAAAATCACCCAAAGATTTACAGATATCTTCTCAATGGAATTTCAATTTTTATTCGTTTTACTCTTACTTTAAAGATGAGATTGCTATTTTGACTTAGAATATGAAGTTAATAATCGTTTGCTATTTTGACTTAGAATATGAAGTTAATAATCGTGATCCTAATAACGTTTTCGTTTCTTGCATGGTCACTTTGAATAATAAAAAAAAATAATTCAATCTTGTTTTCACATATTTTATAAAGAATTTTTTTTTTTTAATTTTACTAATATATGAATATGCAAGTATATGTTTCATGCTTGTTTTAGTAATAGCAATGAGATTTTTCAATATCATCCCAAGAATGGTTAGGATTTTCAGAGGAAGGTGTTATTCGTTTGATAAGGAATAAAAATATAGAAAGTTTGAGCGGCTAAAGCTAACTAAATCAATAGTTCTACTCAAAGGTAGAGCATTTTCCTTTTATAGGAACTCCTATATCATAAACAATGATATATTCCATTATAAGCCTTTTTTAAGGTAATTATTTATTTTTTTCTCTCAAAGTAAAAAGTTAAATTAAAACTATTTTTAATTAAATAATAATTTTTTACGTTATTATTAAATTTTATGTGGTTTCTAAAATTAAATCTCTATACAATTACGTTTTTTTAAGAAAAAATAAAAAACTAGAAACATAGTTCCCTAATAAACTGAAAATATAAAATAAGAAGAATATTATCCAACAAAACCTTAATATATCCATATTTTAAAACAAAAATTCAAAATTTCACAATTATTACCGAACAGATACTTAATATACCCATATTTTAAAACAAAATTTCAAAATTTCTCTCATAGATAATTTCAGTTCTACCTCTTGAAAATTCTCCACCATTTTGCATCACTTTTACAAATAGAAGGTAAATAAAAGGTGAATCCAAACCAGAAAGAAAGGAAAGCTTGATTTCCATTATGCAACTTTATGTGAGTAAGAGAGTGAATAATACATATTTCCTTCTTTATTTTCTGAGACACAATCTCCACTCCATCACTTGCTGTAAAATTTCACCATTTACATAATCAAACTTAATTATCCTCTCTCCTCCTTCACCAACACATGCTCCCCACCCTCCTTATTGTCCTCAGCCTCTCTGTAGGCTTCTGCCTCTTCACAGTCTCCTTCCTCTGCACCATCTGCCATTGATATGTTCCACAAACTCTATCAACAAAACATCACATTCATAAACATAACGAAACACGCGATAAATCTTGACTACTCGACCTGACTTTCTTACCTCTTGCATTCTCTTCCTCTCAGATTCAGCCTGCACATTTAACAATATTGAGCATAAGGGAATGGAAGTAAAAAACAGAATGAATGAGCTTTGTCAAGAGTATAGCAAAAGGTTCACCAAAATTTGCTTTAGTTTTAAATTCTCTTCTTTTAGATGATTCAGCTCAGCTTCCAACTCCACTGTGTATGCCTGCAATCAAAATTTGCACTTGCAGGTTAGATTGTGAGCAGGTTATTAGATGATATGAGGGTAATGTAGAGGGGCATAGGAACCTGTTTTCTAGCCCGAGATCGCGCGGCCGACTCCCGATTCTTGATCATTCGGCGCTGTCTCCGCTGCACCACGATTTCCGGGGGACCGTCTATTATCCTCCTCTTGTTGCTGTGCTCAACCCAATCAGTCATGCTATGGCATTTGTGGATTGAATTGCTATCAGATGGTTCCCCAACTGAGTGGTGGCTGAGGATTTGGTAAGTTGGGAAGCAAATCCCAGGCATATTTCTTGCAGCATTCTGCTGATAGGACAATGAAAGCCCCAATTTGTCCCCCATCCCATACCCCAAATCCACCATTGGCCTGTTATTTCCATAGAAGGTATTGCTATTGCTCTSCTTTGGAGAACAGGGCAGCTGCTTCATTGAAGAACAAGATGATTCCTGCACCACTCCAGCTCTCACCAAGAAATCTTCCAAAGTCATTTCTCCTAAAGCTGGCTGGCTTTGGCACGGGACRCTTGTGAAGTTCTGCCGATTTGCATGTTGTTCTCTGTGTATCTCGGACCAGATCTCATCCACCGTTTTCCCACAGAGAGGAACGGGGATGGAGAATGAGGGCTGGCGAGCGAGCGTCGGGCGGGAATTGGGGGCCATATAAGGGTAATTTTGTTGAGGTTCATTTTCATTGGGTTGGGATTGAAATTGGGTTTGAGTTTCTTCAACATTCCAGACGTTGGCAAGAAACTCATCCATGCTCATACCCCCAAAGTTCTTCCCACTCTTGCATTGGATTTCATCAAATGTGAGAGATAAAATGTTGTTGTGTTTGTTAAGTGAAGAGAATAAATAGTCTCTTAATGCTCCATCTGATGGCTGTGTTGCTGCTGCTTCTGATAGCATTTGCCCAATTCCCATATCTTGCAATTCAGAGTTATCCATTTCTCCAACAATAACAATAACACTGTTTGGATGGCTAGAATTGAATTGCCAAAAATTATGCTTAAACAACTTCAAATTCACTGTAGAACACAAAAAAACAGATATCAAAATCCCAACATCAAATCTAACAATGAAAGTGAAAGCAATTCTGCATATTTTCCATCGCATGTGTTTAGCAGTGCTTTTGATATGACCAAAAATCACTTCTTCTCAATCTCCCATTGTAAAAGTGAAACATCAAAACAATTTGTTATTATAAAATTTCTCATCTAAGAAGCACTTCCAAACACAGCATTAACCACATCARATACAGTGGCTGATATCACAATGCCAGTCTCATCCAATTTCTCTGTTTCAATATTCAATGAGATTCACATTGAAAAGAGATAAACCAATTCAAAACTCGCATGCAAAGCAAATCAACCACGAAAGATGAAGATAGAACCAAACCAGAAAGGGATCCTTAAAGAAAAAGAAAAAAAAAGGAAGAAACTTTACCCATAAATCATCATAGAAAATTGTTCCAAAACAGAAACCCATTTTCAAAATTCAAAGTGAAGATAGATTTTTACCTCTGATCAGAAAAAACAGCTCAAAGCACTGCTGAGAAGAAGAAGAAGAAGAAGAAGAAGAGGAAGAAGAAGAAAGGAGCGGAGTGAACAAAGAGAAGCATTATGTTGTTTTATTTTAATCTCTCTTATATAGAAGATGTAGAAGTAGGACTTAGAGGAGAACTTTTTTTCCTTTTTTCTTTTTTTCATTTTTCTTTCTTTTTCTTTCTCTTTTTTTTTGTTTTTGTTTTAGAGTAGTTTCGAGGAGCAGCGGTGGAGGTGAGAAAGAAGGCTCACAGACTTGAAAGTAACTGCCATTTCAATTATTTTTCTTTTTTTTTTTCAAATAAATAAACCAACTTCATTTTATTTTATTCTTTTTCTTCATTTATAATTATTCTCTGACCCTGCCCATTTTCTTAAAGAAAAAAAAAACAAAAAAAAGAGAGATTTTTTTTGACACGTTTAATTCAGCATGCAACTTTTTTCCATCAGCTGATGTAAACTGTTTGCGAAATACGAGGAAAAGGAGGACAAAGGCAGTTACCATCCTTGAATCTCAGCCGTTGGATTCGCATACCATTTTAGAACTCTCATGCATTGCGCACGCACGTGATTGGCACCACGAGGTGGGAGATTAAATCTGCTGCGGCCGGAACCACCGGAAACCCACGAGTGTGGCCAATTACGTCATCGAATTTGGGAAGTTGGAAACGTAAGTAGATTCTGTTGGAGACACGTGTCATGCAGTTTTTTGGGTTGTAATAGTATTAGTTTTACTAGATTTCTTCACAACATAAATATATACGTTACAATTTTCATTGTATTAAAATCACATTTGACATTGCATATTCTTTACAAAATATATTTGTTTCATTTGTAAACCATGGCAGTACAATTATGCTACATGTTTGGAACGCGGAAGATTGTCAGAAAATACGAATAAAGTCGAGAGGAAATATCGAGGGGTGCATAAGAAAGAGACAACATCCGAGTACAAGACTTTTGAGTGAAATCAATGATAAAATCGTGAGAACTTATGTCCAAAGTGACCTAAGGTTATTGATGAACCTTTTAGATTAATCGCAAAGCATGTCAAAAAAAAATTATTAATATATTTTTTTAGTACAACAAATATTAGTGATGACTTCTATCTTAAAGATAGAATTATTATATACCTTTACTAGTATATATAATCAGTTGAGCAAGGTTCAAACTTGATATAAAAATAGTATTTATAATAAAAGGCATCATTAAAAAAACATGGTAATTAAGATTATATGGTGATTATGTTTAAGTGAATAGTAATTCACAACATAAACTTAGCATCTTACTCTTTTCTTGCATGTTGGGGTTCAATCCCTCATCCCAGACAGTAATTTTCTTGCATGTTTAAGTTGAGTTGGTGACATCTTTGTGGGTATTCTTCTAATATTAAAATTGATAGAGTAGGACATGTATTAGCACCCTTACAAATAATACACTTGCACTCTACTCGAGCTAGAATAAATATTAATTCATTATTTTTATATTTGAAGACTTATGAAAAAAAAATATATWTTTTTTTAATTTTTTTGAAACAAAATTATACACCGTAACCAGACATAATATTAATTTTTTATTATAAAAACGAGAAACATAACAAATTTTTTTTACTACAACATATAAGGTGGGCAATCGAGTAAAAAAAAAGTAATTAATAGCAGTAAAAATAATAAAAGCATCCAACAACAGGGTAGCAAGAGTAAAATTAATTTATACATTGGGAAAGAAATATAGGTCAGGTAGAAAAAAGGCYTCTAAATTGGGAAAGAATTTGTTGTGAAAAACAATTGTGAGACGGTGAAAAAAGATACTGTTGGGTGAAAGTGTGTGGCAGTGAGAATATTGGTAACGGTAATTAGGGGAGAAGATTATATATGGAGAATGCCTTGGAAATTCTAGTGAGTGGGGGACGGTGAAGGAAGAGATCAAAGATAATAATAATAATAATCTATGGGAGACCGTGAGAATTCAGAGCGAGAGCATCATTCTGACAGAGAAAAGGGAAAATTACCCATAATTGGGAGAGTGGGGAGAGAATGAGAGAAAAGGGGGAAATAGGGGATTTATTTTTATTTTTAAGGACATTGTCATCAGATGCATGATTTACATGGGCCCAAACTTGACTATCCATTTAAAGGATCAGAGGCCCAACATTGAGGATGGACAAAATTTCTGGGTTGGCCCAAGGATGTGAGCTCATCCATTATTTTATTTATTTTTATTTTTATTATCTATTTTTTAGTACTTAGCACATCCATTAAATTAAAYCCCAAAATAYCTAACTTCTCCACATCTCGATTTCATCCAAAATCCCCACAAAATAGGAAGAGGAGATATGTAAGTTGAGAAATTTGGGGAAGATATATGTATATATTTCTTTTTTTCCTAAATCTTATTTCTACCCAATTTTCAGTTTTAATTTTGTTATTTTMATTTTTGTTTATTTTTTTTATAACAATAACAATAATGAAATAAATTCAAAATTGACCCATATCAAATACGATATGTACCTTTTTRTCTATCTCACTCTTCCTCGTGTTTATGTTTAGGGCGGACTCAGAATTGCCCTCGAAAAAATTGTCAGCTATCCTTTTCTTTTTCTTCCTTTTTTTTATATTTAATGTTAAATAATATGTTTAATACGAAATTTTAAGTTATAATTTACATATACATAAGCCAACTAATTTATTAGATTATTTATTATTTTGAATCAATAATTTTATATAAATATTTAATTAAATTTTATTAATGCATGCACAAAATCTAGGTTAAAAAACATTTTTGGTTTCTCTAGCAACAATTGAGTCTAATTTAGTCTCTAACTTCAGTGYGTAATAATGTAATTCTTGTACTTTTAAATTGRTAATAATTTAGTCATTGTAATTTTAATTTTGTAACGATTTAGTCTTTATCGTGATTTTTTTTTRTTGGTTAACTTTCTAATACTATTCATAAATTAAATAGGGGCCAAATAAATTCATAAATTAGAATGATTAAAATGTTATATGATAAAATTTGACATTTAATTTTAATAAATCGTAAGCTCCAATGACCAAATGTGTTTTTTAACCTAAAATCTAAAAAGATTTGGAAGATGTAGATGGTGGACGGGCAGGGTCAGGATGGGGAATACATACCCGTCCCAAAAAATTAAATCAGGAWAAAAAATCAATAGGCCTATTGATACCTAGGAAAATTGTCTTAATAATTTTTCTCACTGATTAATTTTCCTGCCTATTCCATTTTCCCACTGATTCCTCTCATATATATTTATTTTGGGAAGTAAATTAATTTTTATCCATATAAAGAAAGTGAGAAACAATAGTATCATCGTATTCACAAAATACAACTGTCTAGGCATAAAACAAACACTCCTAAGAAGATTAGACAAGAATGTCTTGTTTCCATCCACAAACTAAAATTAAAAACTCCAAACTAACTCGAATATAATTTAACTAGTTAATGCATATATCATCGACCAGACGTCTCTAAACTACTGCGTACCAATTGCATTACATTTGAACACCATTTTTTTATTCCTCTGAAAATTAATTTATGGAAAACCCACTCTCTGTCTGTCTCTGGTTTTCCTGCAGAATCTGATCCAAACTTCACAAATTTAATGTTATGTTTCTGTCTCTCTGAAAGAATCAGTTGCTGACTTTAAATTTTAAGACATGGCTTTTGCTGTAAGAGGTTTTGGTCTATAAGAAACTGGGTCTTCTCCAAGTAAAAGTGCTCTTAAAATGGTGTCAAATAAGCCTTTGTAGTGAATAATCAAATGCCCACCATCAGGAACTTCATGGTACTGAATCCATGGAAGCTTCCCTGAAACATGTCTTTGCAGCTGGACTGGCACAACTTTGTCCTCACAACCTTGCCAGATATGGACCGAACTTTCGTTTCGAGGGAACGGGTTTCTTAGGTTAGCTGGATCAAATTCCCATTCGCCAAACGCCATCATGAAATCGCTCCGAAGGGTGTCGAAAACGCGTTGCTCCTTTAACCTCCTCTGCAATCAGAATAAAACTTAAACCTCACTCGGACCAAAATGTGTAAGAGGGTGAAAGAGAGATGACTATTTATACCTTGGAGAGCATCGGGAAGCCCGGTATCGTCTTTAAGATTTCGATGTCTTGTTCGTTGAAGAATATCGGATTCTTTTCGAGTACGGAAGTTGAAGGAATCCAATTCTGACTCACCCACCAATGCAACAGCCCAGGGGCATAGTTTGAAAGCCACAATCCTAATTTCACAACCTTTCTTCTGTAATCCTCCCTTATGAGGCTATAGGGAAGTGAAGGCCACTGATAGTTTACTAATGGGACTATAAGAGCTGTGCCTGCTAACCTACATTAAGTTATTTTCTGGTGAAAGGAAGCAATAGATAGCAACTGAATCAAAGAGAGAAAACAGCTCAAAGACAGGAAAAATGGACCAAAAATAATCTTGCCTCTCTGGTATGTATCTGAGGCAACTCCAAGCCGAATACGACCCCATCGAGACGCCGATCAGATAAAATTTCGAACCAATTTGCAACTGGTCAGCCAGTTCTTGAATGTCAGATGCTTCATTCTGGACTGAGCTATTGGGATTTGGATCACTTTCACCATACCCAGGTCTATCATAGAGCAAAAAGTAAACCCCCAACTCGTCTATCAATTCCTAAAGACCATCATATTCCATCAGTCAAAAGACTTGTAGCTAATTTTAGCATAAGACTCTGATGAGAACTCTAATTTGGGGGCAGACCCAGTAAAGACAACATCAAAGAACTTGAGATCAAAACAATCAGAGATTGAAAAAATAGAGTGAGTTAGTGTACTTGGGATGCCAAAATAGTCATGTCTTTGGAGCTTCCAAATCCATGGCAGACAACGATTTTGAAATTGGCCTTGTCTTTAGAAACCCCCTTCTCAGTGAAAGCAAGGTACCTTCCATCACTGAGTCTGATTCTCTGAGAAGAAACAGGGAGATCCGGAGAAGAGGAAGAGCCATTAATTTGTGGAGGAGGAAGTTGGGTGGCCTGATAAAACATCCCCAAAAAACCAATCAGCAACACAACAGCCATTCTCGAAACCATCCCTGGGAAA